AACGAGGGTCTCGAGCTCTGAAGGGAATCTTGATAGGGGAAGAACCGAATGATCGCTTTGGTCTCCATTTTTGAAGGAATCACCTCCTCCTCTGCCGGAGCGCTGGTAGGTTCGACCGCATTGCTTTGAGCAACGGCGGGTTCTGCCGGTTCGACCGGCTCTGGGGGCGGGTTGGATCCCTGCGGGGTGGGCTCCTGCGAGTTGTTTGTAGAAGTCTCTAACGTGCGAGGTGGCGGTCGAGGGGCAGCCGAAACGCTCATCAAGCGTGCCATAGGATTGGGTTGGGTATGGTCGGTCGAGGGTGTGGAATTAGCGGACTCGGTGGATGATAGTTGGCTATTGAGGTCGCTAGCAAACCCGTAACTCGGCGCGGGCGCAGAGGTGTAACGAGAAAGAACTGGATGGTCACTTTCAGGGCATGGGGAAGCTGTGGTGGAGTTTGTCGGAGAGATGGAGTCCGGATTGGAGAACCGCCAAGGAATTCGACTGCTCAAACTGTGTCGAGCCGAGCGCTGCCCGCTAGGCGAGGAGGTCAGATTATGGGTGTAGGTTCGTAAACTGAAGCGGCGCAGGCGACTGGGGCGAGGGCAGTCAGGTAAGGAGGTGGAGGCGGTGACTGAAGTAGACATGGATTCGATTTGGCGACCATGAAAGAATATCGACAGAGAATTAAATAGTGCCCAGAGATTTCTGAAGGGTAACGTCACTGGGATCTGCAACTGGGCTGATGCTATTCAATGGTTTACCAGGACATCATATGATTAGGGTAAAGGGATGACCTTGGAACGAGAAGAAGAGATTTCAAAGCGATGGAAAGATGGAAGAAAGGAGTGAAAGAAAAGCGAGGAAATTAGAAGAGCGAGAAAGGCTGGGTGGGATGTTTCGGCCTTCTTGATTGTATATACTGTCTTGTCTTGTCGAATCTTTGGGATCTTTGCTCTTTGCCATCGGTTAACTATTAAAGCCCTGACAGTCAGCATTTCTTGGCAGGAAGATATCTCCCCGCATAGTTAGGATATATAACGAGAGTATTTATATGAAGTATATGGAATAAGTATATATGGAATAATAGAAATAGTATAACAGGATGTTGATAAATTGGTAAATCCCATATTAACTATTCCCAATTCCCAAGTGGTACCTATATACTCTATGCATATGTCGACTGTCATGGCTCGTCCTTACTTCATGTACAACCCAACATAGGATAGCTAAGTGGTCTATGCTTTCACATAGGCAATGTACATCTCTGTAACTAGTTATGTACTCTATTCTGTACTCCGTATATACCCTCTATGTGATCTATACCAAAGCAGATATCATTATGTCGAATCAACTAGAACAAACTAGCTGAACACCACAACCATAGAACTTAGAAGATGTGGCAAATAATATATCTTACCAATGAACCTGTTAGGGCCTGGGCCAGTTATCTGTTTGTCTGACAATACCCTAACTCTTCCTATCTACATACAAAGTAGCATTCCATGTGATACCTGCAAGTCAATCTCCAACCATCACCACCAACATGCCATTATCCATATGCGACTCTATCTGGTGATCATCTGCGTCACTTACAAAATCACAAGAGCAAATGTAATGTCTTCATTGGTGTATAGTGTAGCACGGACCTTGACGGGACGCTAGAAACTACGCTTTAGACGGCAAAAGACGTTGAACCCGACTAGATAATAGCGATATAGTGATATAAGAAGTATTTCAACATCTATAGAGTAAGAGCAGTATCTAGAAATATGCTGTACAACGTACTATTATTAACCAGTACTTGACTTTATATGATGCAGTTGATCTCCCTTTCCGGATTGGTCAGCCTAGAGCTTCCCCCGGGGCCGATGATGTATGTATTGGAGCTGGTGCGTGTGGGAATGAAGATGAAAATAAAACCCATGGAAGAGATGAAAGAGGAGAATAAAAAGAAAACAAGTAGATTGACCTAGTCAATTCAATCAATCCAACCCCCAATGTATCCTCCAATACATAGAAAAGCCATTGAATTCCAAGTTTCTGCCGTAGGAGACTAGTTCGCTCCCTCTCCCCTCCCTTAATGAAACACTTGGAACTTCCTTCCTTCAAGCATCAGGAGGCTTCCCTCCTTCCTTTTTTCTCATCACGCGGCTTTTTCTTTGTGTTTCCCTCCAAAGCTTCGGCTTTATTCAACTCCCTTAATTTCACCTTCGCCGACTCGTCTTTCGCATCCCTCACACTCAGTAGACCGCGCCCGATGCGGGCTTGCTAGCCAGCATGAGTGGAATCGCGAATGCCTGTCTGTCTTGCTTTTCAGCAGTGGACCAATGGTGTCATATCACAGCATGTCTCGGTCCCATCGGAGCTCGTTCTCGAGATGGTATCTACGAAACAACCCTGGCCGATAATGAGCGAGAAGCCGTATCAGATCTTCTAGGCTACTTGGAGAACGTACGTGCTCGACCGATTCATCATTCTGAACCGCTACCTTTCCTTCTCTGAAGCATAGCTGGAGACTGGGTTCGCCTGGGTACCGCCCTGCACCGAGCATACCGCTAACTTCCAATTGTACAGCGCGCAGAGACCGACTTCTTCCACGGCGAGCCACTACGAGCCTTGAGTACCCTTGTTTATTCCGAAAACGTCGACCTGCAAAGAAGCGCCAGCTTGACGTTTGCTGAGATCACAGAGCGAGGTGCGTATCGCCATCTTGCTAGCAATGATGCAAGAGCTGACCTTTCGTCTTATCTACAGATGTGCGCGAGGTCGATCGCGATACCCTCGAACCTATTCTCTTTCTACTTCAAAGCTCAGATATCGAAGTTCAACGGGCTGCTAGTGCAGCGCTGGGAAATCTCGCCGTAAATTGTTGGTCACGTCCCCGTCCCGTCACCCATCACCCATCTCCTTTCCCGCTTCCAACACGGTCGCTAACTCGGTGCAGCTGAGAACAAGGTCTTGATCGTCACCCTCGGGGGCCTATCTCCCTTGATTCGCCAGATGATGTCGCCCAATGTCGAGGTACAGTGCAATGCGGTCGGATGTATAACCAATCTCGCGACCCATGAGGAGAACAAGGCCAAGATTGCTCGCTCTGGCGCTCTAGGTCCTCTCATTCGCCTGGCCAAGTCAAAGGATATGCGTGTCCAGCGAAACGCGACGGGCGCACTGCTTAACATGACTCATTCGGGTAAGTGGTTCTGATTGATTCGTCTGGCCGTTTTTCTAACATGAAGACCAGATGACAACCGACAGCAACTTGTCAATGCCGGCGCCATTCCCGTGCTCGTGCATCTCCTTTCATCCCCCGACGTTGACGTACAGTACTACTGCACAACAGCTCTGAGCAATATCGCCGTTGACTCGACGAATCGCAAACGACTCGCCCAAACCGAGTCACGCCTCGTGCAATCATTAGTTCACCTTATGGATTCATCCACTCCGAAAGTCCAATGTCAAGCGGCGCTCGCCCTGCGCAACCTCGCCTCTGATGAGAAATACCAGCTTGAAATAGTTCGGGCGAAGGGCCTTTCTCCACTGCTACGACTCCTACAATCCTCCTACCTTCCTCTCATCTTATCCGCCGTCGCTTGTATCCGCAACATTTCTATTCATCCTCTTAACGAATCCCCCATTATCGAAGCGGGCTTCTTGAAGCCGTTGGTGGATCTCCTAGGCTCGACTGACAACGAAGAGATTCAATGTCACGCTATATCCACGCTTCGTAACCTTGCTGCTAGCTCTGATCGCAACAAAGAACTTGTCTTGCAGGCCGGCGCAGTACAAAAGTGCAAGGACTTGGTCTTGCGTGTTCCTCTAACAGTCCAATCCGAGATGACTGCTGCAATCGCTGTGCTGGCCCTCAGCGAGGAGCTGAAGCCGCATCTTCTCAACCTCGGAGTGTTTGACGTCTTGATTCCTCTGACAAACTCTGAAAGTATTGAGGTGCAAGGCAACAGCGCGGCTGCGTTGGGCAATCTGTCTTCGAAAGGTATTTCCCCTTATATTTGTGTGTCCTTATAAGCTGCTAACAAATTTGTAGTCGGCGATTATTCGATGTTCGTTCGCGACTGGGCAGACGCAAATGGTGGCATCCATGGCTACCTCCATCGCTTCCTTGCCAGTGGAGATCCCACATTCCAGCACATTGCCATCTGGACCCTCCTCCAACTGCTCGAGTCCGAAGACAAGAAGCTCATTGGATACATTTCACGATCCGAAGACATCGTGAACCTGGTCAAGGTTATCTCCGACAAGAACATCGATTCGGATGAAGAAGATATAGATGATGGTGAGGGTGAAGTCATTACGCTCGCCCGTCGCTGCCTTGAGCTGGTTGGAGCCGGTCCTAAGCAGACCCTTGTAGAAGCCTGAACCCTCTGTTTCGTCTGGTTATACCACCCTTGTTCTCACCCTTGTTCTATTTTTTCGGTCCTTTCTGCTGACGATGCTTCCTCGCAAACAAGGTCTTGTGTCCTTTGACTGAATCGGGATTTTCTTTTCTTCTCTCATTCTGTCGCTGAAAGCGATTATTTTCAGAACTTATATAGCGAGTAATCGATTTTTATGATAACTTAAAGGGACATAGAAATAAAGGCGTTTCGTCAACTTGACAACCTTAGATGGATAAGAAGTATGATAAGCTAGGTATTTGCACTTTCCCCTGCTCTTGTCGCACCAATCTCAACTGTGAGCAAGCTGGGACGACATCGAGACTTACTTGCATAAGCTGGTACGTTCTTCAGATCTCACGCGGTGAACTCGCTGTACTAACCATCCGTCTTTTTACAGAAATATTCTGCATCATGGGCAAGCAGGTTAAATGGATTGTCGACTACTCGCCAGTGATCCTCGCATCCAATGCCTAAGTTGGATCAGACCCAGCTAACACTTCACCAACTGTCTCCGTGAGGGGATGTTTGTTTCATATTGCAACTATGGCGTTACCCCAGGGATCGGTATACAACACACTACCACTCACAATGGGTCGAGGACTATTGACACAAGTGGGCTGTTTAGGTGATCTCGTCGGTTTCATCGACAGTCGTAGAATCGTCAGTTGTGAGATTGGAGTCTTCAGTGGTTTCAATTTGGAAGACATTCTTTGCGACAGCAATCTTGGGAGGTGCAGAATCTTCGGCCATCACATCATCATCCTCGTCATCCTCGTCGTCGTCATCTTGTTGGAGAGCGTTGAACGCCATGGTTTTGCGGTTGGTGTCGTCCCAATCAGCCTAATTAAACGTGAGCACCTGTACGTCACGAAACGACCATCTGTTTTCATACTCTTCGGGAGTTGACGGTCTTGCCGCGAGCCATGCTTTTGGCCTTCTTGATTTCCAATTGATCCATCACGGCCTCGGCTCGGTCCATTCCCTTTTGTTGCCTTAATCGCTGGGCCCGTGAAACCTTGTCATTTTTTTTCTGCTTTTTCTGGATCCCGGAAGTCGCACGGTCAGCCAGAACCGAAGGCCTTGTTGTGTTAGGAGATTCCGCTCGTGGAAGCGAAGTCAACGACTTGTCAAGGTCGAGACTTGGGGATGCTGCTCTCCGCGCTGCGCGGGAACGCTGGGACTGGCCTGTTTCGAATATTAGATACCCAAACGTCAATGTATGCGATATTCGTATTCAACTTACTTTTGCTCTTCGCCATGGTTGCTGTTTCGAAAAATTATCAATCTCGTGGGATGAGATCGCTATCGATAAAAAAAAGTTTACGGCAGACGAAGACAACCAAAGGCGCACCTTTTCTACTCAAACATGTAATTTGATGTCCCTTTCTACACGCGTCTTGACACTCCCACGTTCTCTGTCAATCCATGCTACTGCTCATGCTGGCAGATACATTTTGTCACAGATATCCGTCTGGCGTTATTGACAATGAACACCCGCGACGTGCGCTCTGAGATCTTTTCCAACCGCCCCGATCAGTACGCAAGTCGCAACAGTCATTATGAAACCGCCCTGACGACTTTACAAAACAATCAAGCATTAGCATACATATTTATTGCTCTTATTTCAATTTGTGTCTTTCTCGGTTACCTCGGACTTGTTCCTATATCGCTATTCCAGCTCCCCTGGGATCTCATTGTCTATTTTACACCCTCTCGAATCGTTGTCGCTTTAGACCCTCAGATATCGACCTCCGACCCCAACACGCTAGCCTCACCTTTGCCCTTCCAGAATAAAAGTGACGCGATGAGACGTATTCTTGGCTTAGACAACAACGTCTACTTCCCTTTCTTCTCCCGGTCAAAATCACTCTCTATCTTCGGAAATGCGCTGCTGGGAAACACTCAGGATGCCACACCCCCGGGGCTCGGAAATTGGAACAATTCGTGCTTCCAGAACAGCATCATACAGGGATTGGCTTCTTTGAAATATCTCGCCGAGTTTCTGGGACACAACGTGGACAACCTCTCGGACAAGACTTCCGTCTCGACGCACAGGGCACTCCTAGACCTCATCGACCGTCTGAATAGCGCCTCCAAAAGTGAAACCAAGCTGTGGATCTCCGGACCTCTCAAGTCCATGAGTAGCTGGCAACAGCAAGATGCGCAAGAGTATTTTTCCAAGTTGCTTAATCAAATTGACCTTGAAGCTGAGCGGTGTTCACGCGGAGAGACTTCGAATATGGGATTGAAAATCGCGGGACCGGATGAGAACATATTTCGAGACAGCGACTCTGACGACCCGGTGGTGCCTGAGGGATCCGAATCGCTCCCATCGACAGATAAGATTTATCTTGATAGGGTTTCATCTTGCAATCCTCTCGAAGGCCTACTCGCGCAACGAGTTGGCTGTATGGATTGCGGATGGACTGAGGGGCTCTCGTTGATACCTTTCAATTGCCTCACTGTTCCTCTGGGCAAAAGGTTCTCGTACGATGTTCGCGAATGTTTGGATCAATACATGGCGCTTGAGCCTATTGAAGGCGTGGAATGCGCCAAGTGCACGTTGTTGCGTCGACTGGAGCAGCTTATCAACTTGATCAGTGGGATTGAAGCCGATGAGAGTCGGTCAGACAGCTCCGACGAACCTCCACGATTCAATGCTGTGAAGGAATCGGCCTACTCGCGGTTAGAGGCTGTCAAGGAAGCTTTGCACAACAATGATTTCAGCGAAAACACATTAGCGAACAAGTGCCATATTAACTCAAAGAACCGAGTCTCAACCACTAAATCTCGACAAGCCGTCATTGCACGGGCTCCCCGCTGTCTTGCTATCCATATCAACCGCAGTGTTTTCGACGAGTACACTGGGACGTTGGAGAAGAATCTCGCGGCAGTCACGTTTCCTCAGATGATCGATTTGAACAATTGGTGTCTTGGCACCCAACCTCCCAACAAGCACGGCAACAATTATGAGCGTTGGGATACAAACCCCTCTCGGTCTATGCTTCCTCAACCCGGTGAATCGATTCAAGTTCCTAGCAGACAATATCAATTACGCGCAATTATCACCCATTACGGCCGACATGAGAATGGACATTATATCTGCTATCGCAAGTATCCGACATCAGAATTCACAGCCCCGGCACCCGACGAAATTCTTCAAGCTGAGGGTGACAAGGACAAGCCCGAGCGTTGGTGGCGCCTCAGCGACGATGACGTGCAGATGGTTAGTGAAGGTCATGTGATGAGCCAAGGGGGTGCATTCATGCTGTTCTACGAAGCTGTGGATGATTCCTCACCGCGTTCGACTCGATCTGCAACTCCAGAACATGAAATATACGACAGTTATGCAGAGTCTACCCAGTTCGGAAGTGAAGAATCAATGCCCAAGAACAGTTCCACACCATCTACTGTCACCGACTGCGAATCTGCCTCATCCCGTGAGACCAGTATCTCGTTGCCGATGGACGACTTGATTCCTGCCGACGCGCCTGTGAAGATCTCGAACGTGATTGACACTAATGCTCAGGCGAACGATGAACTGGACTCTCCCTCTACCATTACTGCATGATCACCTTTTCTTCATACGTTTTTCCTACTTTTTGCCCGCATAGCCGTGCCGGCTACTGCATCATGATACCCGATACCACGTTCCATTTGAGGCGCTGATTTGAACTCCATTGTGTTTGGGAGTATGTGTGTAAATTTATGTACTATTATGAGGAATCTGAACAGAATGACTTATTGAAGCAACACACTTCAATTCGATTCAGCCTGACTGTAATTCCGTAGACTCATTCACGACTCATTCACCGTGGATTGCCTCCGTCTCTTAGAAACCTAGTCAACACTCGGTGATGCAGCCTTGGGGCTCATATCCCCGCATTTAGCACGAGCACCTTGTGAAAGGCGACCCGGTATGATGGTCCGGCATCACCTCATTAAGTACCTTGGGGCCACCACAGCATAAAACTACATGAAGACTCCTTTCCTCGCCAAATTAGATTTGCAACTTCCTTTCTACATTCTCGACGAGTTCTACCAGCAAAGTACTAATTCTGACGTAAACCGAATCTGCCTCTTCCTATATCGACGCTGGAAATCGTTGAAGCTGCACTCGAGTCTGTATAGATCCCGTCGGAGATCTCCCCGGGTCCTCATTTCCTATCTGATCGTCATAGGTATGATATCGTCTCTAATACTTGATAAAGCTGGTCGTTCCTATTCTAATTGAACAGAAGTATTCTATATCATCTTCAATAATGTCTATCACCAAATCCTCACAACCGCATGACATATTCCTCGTCAATGAGCTACTCGAGAACATTCTTCTACATACAGATATGAGAACTCTATTAACATCTGCCCAACGCGTATCTCGCGTCTGGAACACTATGATCAAAACATCAGTCAGACTCCAAGAGTCCCTCTTCTTCAAACCCTCCAAAGAGACCTCAGATCCCTCACAGCGCCTCCGCAATCCGCTCCTAGAAGATATCCTCTGGGCTCAATTCTTCCTCAAACAACAACAAACCTCAGAGTCGAAAATCGCCCAAGTAAGCAGGTTTCCGCTGCGGGAACCCGAGCGTCGCAAGCTCAATATCTACCTGCGCAAAGACGCCAGCTGGAAACGAATGCTGCTCCAACAACCACCGACATCATCAATCGGAGTCCTTGAAATCATCAAGAGATCAGACTCGGAATTCACCAAATTATCGACCAGCCCAAACGAGTTCCTACGGATGGGCGATCTCTTGAGCCTCCTCCAAGGAGGTAGCACGTTAATTCCAACCCGCAACAAATGGATAATGTGGAGCGGGCGATCCCGTATCAGAATGCCTTTGAACTTTGAATGTTGGACGCCTAAATGGGTATATGAGCCAAGTACCCTGCGGCCGGTCCATGAATGGATCCCGGAAAATATAGACTGGGATAGTCTCCGGCTGGAGGTGGCATCGATGTATTTGAATGATTTCGACTGTGGTGTGGTGATTGTATCCGAACGGAGACAGGTGCTCTTCCAGGGTGAGGATCGAATTCACAGGGAGAGCAAACTTGATCGGCGACTAGAGAAAGTGTTTGGGGGGTGTCAGGTGGAGGTTGGAAGGATGCATACAAATCACTCTTGGATTCCTATCAAGGGTGTTGGTGCTGATCGGAGATGGGTCCTTAGGCCATGTTCGGCTACTCCTCTTGTTCCGATGCTGAGTGACTCGGAGGGTTCAGATTCGTCTTCTATGTCTTCGTTTTCTTTGTCTGTATAGAGGGGATATACTCGAGGCTCTGCACGGGCGTATATCTTGACCAGTTTGAAGAAAGTTCGAATGATACTCTGCTATTAGGGATACAGTAGCATGCTGGTTATCGCATAGGAAAGAAAGGAATACAACCGAGAATGTGAAATTCATACCGAGAGCCACCGACCGACTGTGGCCTGCCGGGGTTGTTTGTTACAAACAGCATCGCTCTCATGATGTATCCATCATGATATAACGATACCACTTTCTATAATCATGATCAGCCTAGGTGTTAGGATATCTTGTAGTAGAGGAAAGGCATTCTGACCTTGGCTTAAGCGTCTTATGCCCCACTTCCATTCAAGAAATAGTGGAGTGTTTCATGGCTGCTAGCTTTGCCGGCACAAAAGAGGGCGTTGGAGAGACAGCGAGATATTCCGAAGCTAACCATCTGGACTCCTTCGAGACCAAGCCACACATTTCCAGTCGCATATCCCAACAGAAGGTCCCAACCCTTATCTACAGGTGCATATTCCAAAGAGCCAAATAGGAAGGAAACACAATTCACCGCCAGTCCGTCTATCCGACCCGTGCATAACCAGCCAGACAATGAATCCATGCCACTTTAGCGCGACCAGGGTTGTCACAATACTACAACGACCCTGTTCGGATATTGCCAGCCTGTACGACCAGGATGTTGCTTTTGCTGTTGAAATCCACCGTAGCCTCTAAGCGCAGAGCGTGGATGTCAGTACCCAGGGCAGATTGAAACGCTGATGCGCCCGAAGCATTCATGTCCGGCATTGCACAGGAACAAGGGCTCGACAGGACAAAGCGATTGCCAGCTAGGCCGAAGTAGGCAAGTCGAAGAATTGCAGCGAAGACGCATCATTACAATGCTAATGCAGGTTCACGGCCTACCGCAGTTTCTCGGCTTTGCACATGTGGCCATTGCGATGTGTCGAAACGTTCTCGAAAATGGCAAGCGGAGGTATACTGTATAATGATGGTATGCGTTGACG